GAAGAAGTGATAAGGCCACAGAGCCCACTTAGCACTTAAGAAAAAAAAACTTTCAAGTTCATGGCCTCCTCGGTCTGGGGAGGGTCAGCGTGTCTTACCGGCGATGAGGCCTCCGACGGGACCCGAGGAAACGAGTGGGTACTGAAGGGGGAATGCGATCGCGGCAGGCCAAGGGAGCCGGCGGGGCGGGGCTTGCGGGGCTTGCGGGACGGGCGGGGCTTCAAAGGAAGGCCGGGCGCCGGCTCCTGGCCACCGTAATGGCGGCGGCCTGCGGGGGGGCAGAGCTTGCTCAAAACCCCACCCGTCTGGGAAGATCAGCGAGCTGTCTCCAGAGGCCGAGCGACCTCCGCGTCACTCTCCCCTAGAATGCCTGCGTTCGCTTGCGTGCCTGGGCTAGAGGCGGGTGGGCATTGTGTGCTGAGGGCGCGCGCTCCCAAGTTGCTAGGAGACGGCGCGCGCATGGTAACCCGGGGCTCGCGGCTCAGGCAAACCCAGGCCGCGTTGCCCCCCCCCCCCACCCCCACCCCCGCGCCTCCCGGCTCGGCCAGCGCGGCCCGCGCCCGGCACCACGTACTCAGGAGGACACCCGTTGGCGAGACAGCAAAAAAGAAAAGGGAAAAGGGAAAGAAAAGCATTGAAGTCTTTCATAAATGTAAATTGGTATGATATGAACATTTTTGTCCTGTTTATTTTTCATTCAGGTATCATTGATATACACTGCTCCGAAGGTTTCACGACAAAATTTCAATGTGGGTACTTCCTTCACCCATATTCTCAAGCCCCTCTGTACCCATTGCCATCCCCGTCCATCAGTATAGGACGATGCCACGGACTCCGTTCTTGTCTTTTCTGAGCGATATTGTTTCCCCGTGACCCCACACACACCAGGTGCACCAATCATAATACCCCTGAATGCTCTTCTCACTGCCATACCCCACCCCTTTTGTAACCGCTAGTCGCTTCTTGGAGTCTGTGAGTCCGCTGCTCTTTTGTTCCTTCAGATTTGCTTTGGTTTAATAGTCCACAAATGAGGGCAATCATTTGGTACTTGTCTTTCTCCGCCTGGCTTAGTTCACTGAGCATAATACCCTCTAGCTCCATCCATGTTGTTGCAAATGGTAGGATCTGTTTCCTTCTTATGGCAGAGTAGTGTAACATTTTGTATATGTGCAAGCTCTTCCCTATCCATTCATCTACTGAGGGCCCCTTAGGATGCTTCCATACCTTGGTAGTTGTAAAGAGGGCTGCAATAAACAGAAAGATGGTATGCTCAAGTGCAGCCGGTGTATTTTAAGTGATTTACAAACTATTCTGCTAATCTCACACTATATTAAAGTTCAGATCTTTAAGAACTGAAAGAAAGATTTGCAACAACGTGGATGGGGCTAGAGGGTCTTATGCTCAGTCAATTATGCCAGGCAGAGAAAGACAAGCATCAAATGATTTCACTCATCTGCGGACCATAAGAACAGACAAAGCTGAATGCACAAAACAGCAGCCGACTCACAGAACCCGAGAATGAACTAACAAATACCAAAGGGAAAGGGACTGGGAAGGGTTGGTGGGAAGGGAGGGAGAAGGGGAATAAGGGGCATTAGGATCAGCATACATGATGCCGGCGGGGAGCACGGGGAGGGCACTATAGCAGCACACAGAGGAGACAAGGAGTAACTCTATAGCATCTCCCTGCGCGGATGGACAGTGACTGTAACGGCGTGTGAGTGGGGGACTTGATAATGGGGGGAGTCTCGTAACCGCTCTGTTGCTCATGTAACTGTCCCCTAATGATACCAAAAAAAGGTAAAAATTAAAAATAAAAGGAATAGTAAAATGAGCGGGAAACAGGAAGTGAAAGAAGGGAACAGTGCTGACAGCACATCTCATAGGAAAGGCTAAAGGGAGGCAGGAGGACGCGCACCAAGATGTTTGAAGAAGTGATAAGGCCACAGAGCCCACTTAGCACTTAAGAAAAAAAAACTTTCAAGTTCATGGCCTCCTCGGTCTGGGGAGGGTCAGCGTGTCTTACCGGCGATGAGGCCTCCGACGGGACCCGAGGAAACGAGTGGGTACTGAAGGGGGAATGCGATCGCGGCAGGCCAAGGGAGCCGGCGGGGCGGGGCTTGCGGGGCTTGCGGGACGGGCGGGGCTTCAAAGGAAGGCCGGGCGCCGGCTCCTGGCCACCGTAATGGCGGCGGCCTGCGGGGGGGCAGAGCTTGCTCAAAACCCCACCCGTCTGGGAAGATCAGCGAGCTGTCTCCAGAGGCCGAGCGACCTCCGCGTCACTCTCCCCTAGAATGCCTGCGTTCGCTTGCGTGCCTGGGCTAGAGGCGGGTGGGCATTGTGTGCTGAGGGCGCGCGCTCCCAAGTTGCTAGGAGACGGCGCGCGCATGGTAACCCGGGGCTCGCGGCTCAGGCAAACCCAGGCCGCGTTGCCCCCCCCCCCCCCCCCCCCCCCCCCCCCTCCCGGCTCGGCCAGCGCGGCCCGCGCCCGGCACCACGTACTCAGGAGGACACCCGTTGGCGAGACAGCAAAAAAGAAAAGGGAAAAGGGAAAGAAAAGCATTGAAGTCTTTCATAAATGTAAATTGGTATGATATGAACATTTTTGTCCTGTTTATTTTTCATTCAGGTATCATTGATATACACTGCTCCGAAGGTTTCACGAGAAAATTTCAATGTGGGTACTTCCTTCACCCATATTCTCAAGCCCCTCTGTACCCATTGCCATCCCCGTCCATCAGTATAGGACGATGCCACGGACTCCGTTCTTGTCTTTTCTGAGCGATATTGTTTCCCCGTGACCCCACACACACCAGGTGCACCAATCATAATACCCCTGAATGCTCTTCTCACTGCCATACCCCACCCCTTTTGTAACCGCTAGTCGCTTCTTGGAGTCTGTGAGTCCGCTGCTCTTTTGTTCCTTCAGATTTGCTTTGGTTTAATAGTCCACAAATGAGGGCAATCATTTGGTACTTGTCTTTCTCCGCCTGGCTTAGTTCACTGAGCATAATACCCTCTAGCTCCATCCATGTTGTTGCAAATGGTAGGATCTGTTTCCTTCTTATGGCAGAGTAGTGTAACATTTTGTATATGTGCAAGCTCTTCCCTATCCATTCATCTACTGAGGGCCCCTTAGGATGCTTCCATACCTTGGTAGTTGTAAAGAGGGCTGCAATAAACAGAAAGATGGTATGCTCAAGTGCAGCCGGTGTATTTTAAGTGATTTACAAACTATTCTGCTAATCTCACACTATATTAAAGTTCAGATCTTTAAGAACTGAAAGAAAGATTTGCAACAACGTGGATGGGGCTAGAGGGTCTTATGCTCAGTCAATTATGCCAGGCAGAGAAAGACAAGCATCAAATGATTTCACTCATCTGCGGACCATAAGAACAGACAAAGCTGAATGCACAAAACAGCAGCCGACTCACAGAACCCGAGAATGAACTAACAAATACCAAAGGGAAAGGGACTGGGAAGGGTTGGTGGGAAGGGAGGGAGAAGGGGAATAAGGGGCATTAGGATCAGCATACATGATGCCGGCGGGGAGCACGGGGAGGGCACTATAGCAGCACACAGAGGAGACAAGGAGTAACTCTATAGCATCTCCCTGCGCGGATGGACAGTGACTGTAACGGCGTGTGAGTGGGGGACTTGATAATGGGGGGAGTCTCGTAACCGCTCTGTTGCTCATGTAACTGTCCCCTAATGATACCAAAAAAAGGTAAAAATTAAAAATAAAAGGAATAGTAAAATGAGCGGGAAACAGGAAGTGAAAGAAGGGAACAGTGCTGACAGCACATCTCATAGGAAAGGCTAAAGGGAGGCAGGAGGACGCGCACCAAGATGTTTGAAGAAGTGATAAGGCCACAGAGCCCACTTAGCACTTAAGAAAAAAAAACTTTCAAGTTCATGGCCTCCTCGGTCTGGGGAGGGTCAGCGTGTCTTACCGGCGATGAGGCCTCCGACGGGACCCGAGGAAACGAGTGGGTACTGAAGGGGGAATGCGATCGCGGCAGGCCAAGGGAGCCGGCGGGGCGGGGCTTGCGGGGCTTGCGGGACGGGCGGGGCTTCAAAGGAAGGCCGGGCGCCGGCTCCTGGCCACCGTAATGGCGGCGGCCTGCGGGGGGGCAGAGCTTGCTCAAAACCCCACCCGTCTGGGAAGATCAGCGAGCTGTCTCCAGAGGCCGAGCGACCTCCGCGTCACTCTCCCCTAGAATGCCTGCGTTCGCTTGCGTGCCTGGGCTAGAGGCGGGTGGGCATTGTGTGCTGAGGGCGCGCGCTCCCAAGTTGCTAGGAGACGGCGCGCGCATGGTAACCCGGGGCTCGCGGCTCAGGCAAACCCAGGCCGCGTTGCCCCCCCCCCCCCCCCCCCCCACCCGCGCCTCCCAGCTCGGCCAGCGCGGCCCGCGCCCGGCACCACGTACTCAGGAGGACACCCGTTGGCGAGACAGCAAAAAAGAAAAGGGAAAAGGGAAAGAAAAGCATTGAAGTCTTTCATAAATGTAAATTGGTATGATATGAACATTTTTGTCCTGTTTATTTTTCATTCAGGTATCATTGATATACACTGCTCCGAAGGTTTCACGAGAAAATTTCAATGTGGGTACTTCCTTCACCCATATTCTCAAGCCCCTCTGTACCCATTGCCATCCCCGTCCATCAGTATAGGACGATGCCACGGACTCCGTTCTTGTCTTTTCTGAGCGATATTGTTTCCCCGTGACCCCACACACACCAGGTGCACCAATCATAATACCCCTGAATGCTCTTCTCACTGCCATACCCCACCCCTTTTGTAACCGCTAGTCGCTTCTTGGAGTCTGTGAGTCCGCTTCTGTTTTGTTCCTTCAGGTTTGCTTTGATTTAATAGTCCACAAATGAGGGCAATCATTTGGTAGTTGTCTTTCTCCGCCTGGCTTATTTCACTGAGCATAATACCCTCTAGCTCTATCCATGTTGTTGCAAATGGTAGGATCTGTTTCCTTCCTATGGCAGACTAGAGTAACATTTTGTATATGGGCAACCGCTTCCCTATCCATTCATCTACTGAGGGCCCCCTAGGATGCTTCCATACCTTCGTAGTTGTAAAGAGGGCAGCAATAAAGAGAAAGATGGTATTCTCACTTGCAGCTGGTGTATTTTAAGTGATTTACCAAGTATTCTGCTTAACTCACTCTGTATTAAATTTCAGATGTTTAAGAACTGAAAGATTTGCAACAACGTGGATGGGGCTAGAGGGTCTTATGCTCAGTCAATTATGCCAGGCAGAGAAAGACAAGCATCAGATGATTTCACTCATCTGCGGACCATAAGAACAGAAAAAAACTGAATGCACAAAACAGGAGCCGATTCACAGGACCCGAGAATGAACTAAGAAATACGAAAGGTAAAGGGCCTGGGAAGGGTTGGTGGGAAGGGAGGGAGAAGGGGAATAAGGAGCATTAGGATCAGCATACATGATGTAGGCGGGGAGCACGGGGAGGGCAGTAGAGCACACAGAGGAGACAAGTAGTGACTCTAGCATCTCCCGGCGCTGACGGACAGTGCCTGTAACGGGAGATGAGGGGGGCTGTTAATAACGGGGGGAGTCTAGTAAGCGCCGTGTTGCTCATGTAACTGTATCGAAATGATACCAAAAAAAGGTAAACATTAAAAATAAAACGAATAGTAAAATGAGCCGAAAAAAAGGAACTGAAAGAAGGAACAGTTCTGGCAGCACATCTCGTAGGAAAGGCTAAAGCGAGGCGGGAGGACGCGCAGCAAGATTTCTGAAGAAATGAAAAGGGCACAAAGCCCCCTTATCACTTAAGAAAAAAAATCTTTCAANCTCGGTCTGGGGAGGGTCATCGTGTCTTACCGGCGATGAGGCCTCCGACGGGACCCGAGGAAACGAGTGGGTACTGAAGGGGGAATGCGATCGCGGCAGGCCCAGGGAGCCGGCGGGGCGGGGCTTGCGGGGCTTCCTGGGTGGGCGTGGCTTCCGAGGAAGGGCCGACGTCGGGTCCTGGCCTACGGAACGTGTGCGGCCTGCGGGGTGGGGATGGGGTGGCAGAGCTAGGTCAAAACCCCTCCCTTTTGGGAAGATTAGCGATCTCTGTCCGGTGGCCTAGCGACTTCCGCGTCTCTCTCCCCTAGAATGCCCGCGTTGGCTCCGGCGCCTGGGCTAGAGGCGGGTGGGCATTGTTTGCTGGCGGCGCGGGATCCCACGTTGCTAGAAGACGGCGCGCGCATGGTAACCCGCGGCTCGCGGCTCAGACAACGCCAGGCCGCGGTGCCCCCATCCCCCCGCCACCCAGCTCAGCCAGCGCGGCCCGCCCCCGGCACCAGGTACTCAGGACGACACCCGTTGGCGAGACTGCGAAAAAGAAAAGGGAAAAGGGAAAGAAAAGCATTGAAGTCTTTCATAAATGTAAATTGGTATAATATGAACATTTTTTTCCTTTTTATTTTTCATTAAGGTATCATTGATATACACTGCTCTGAAGCTTTCACAAGAAACCTTCAATGTGGGTACTACCTTCACCCATATTATCAAGCTCCTCTGTACCCCATTGCGGTCCCGGTCCATCAACATAGCACGATGCCACGAAGTCCGTTCTTTTCTTCTCTGAGCTACGTTGTTTCCCCGTGACCCCACACACACCAGGCGCGCCAATCATAATACCCTTGAATCCTCTTCTCTCTGCCATAACAAGCCCCTCTTGTAACCGCTGATGGCTTCTTGGAGTCTGTGAGTCCTCTGCTGTTTTTTTCCTTCAGATTTGCTTTGATATAATAGCCCACAAATGAGGGCAATCATTTGGTACTTGTCCTTCTCCCCCTGGCTTATTTCACTGAGTCTGGCTCCATCCATGTTCTTGCAAATGGTAGGATCTGTTTCCTTATTATGGCTGAATAGTGTAACATTTTGTATATGTGCAACCTCTTCTCTATCCATTCATCTACTGTGGGCCCGTTAGGATGCTTCCATACCTTGGTCGTTGTAAAGAGGGCTGCAATAAACAGATAGATGGTATTCTCACGTGAAGCTGGTGTATTTTAAGTGATTTACTAGGTATTCTGCTAAACTCACACTGTATTACAGTTCAGAGCTTTAAGAACTGAAAGAAAGATTTGCAACAACGTGGATGGGGCTAGAGGGTCTTATCCTCCGTCAAATACGCCAGGCCGAGAAAGACAAGCATCAAATGATTTCACTCATCTGCGGACCATAAGAACAGACAAAGCTGAATGCACAAAACAGCAGCAGCCTCACAGAACCCGACAATGACCTAACAGATGCCAAAGGGAAACGGACTGAAAAGGGTGGGTGGGAAGGGAGTAAGGGGAGTAAGGGGCATTAGGATCAGCACACATCATGGTGTAGGGGCGTGGGCACGTGGAGGGCAGTATGGCACACAGAGAAGACTACTAGTGACTCTGTAGCATCTCAATATGCTGATGGACAGTGACTGTAATGGGGTATGAGTGGGGGACTTGATAATGGGAGGAGTCTAGTAACCACAATGTTGCTCATGTAACTGTACACTAACGATACCAAAAAAAAATTAAAAAGTAAAAATAAAAGGAATAGAAAAATGACCCAAAGAAAGAACTGAAAGAAGGGAACAGTTCTGTCAGCACATCTCATAGCAAAGGCCAAAGGGAGGCAGGACACGGTGGACGTGCACCAAGGTGTTTGAAGAGGTGAAAAGGGAACAGAACCCACTTAGGACTTAAGAAAAAAAAACTTTCAAAGTCAAGTCCACCTCGGTCTGGGGAGGGTCAGCGTGTCTTACCGGCGATGAGGCCTCCCAGTGGACCCGAGGAAACGAGTGGGGTGGGGACTGAAGGGGAATGCCATTGCGGCGGGCCGAGGGAGCCGGCGGGGCGGGGCTTGCGGGGAGGGCGGGGCTTCCGAGGAAGGAAGGGCGCGGGGGGTGGGCGCCGGCTCCTGGCTTCCGGATCGGGGGCGGGCTGCGGGGGGCGGAGCTTGCTCAGAACTCCTCCCATTTGAAGCGACAGCGAGCTCTGTCCGGCGGGCGAGCGGCTTCCGCGGCTCTCTCCTCCAGAATGCCTGTCTTCGCTGGCGCGCCGGGGCTAAAGGCGGGCGTGCATTGTGCGCTGGCGGCGCGCGCTCCCAAGTTGCCGGGAGACAGCGCGCGAATGGGAGACAGCGCGCGAATGGCAGGCAGCTCGGGGCTCGCGGCTCAGGTCCCCCCCGCACCCCAGGCTGCTGCGGCCCCCCAGCCAGCTCGACCAGCGCGGCCGCCGCGGGCACCAGATAGCAAGAGACCCGTTGGCTAGACGGCGAAAAAGAAACAGGGAAAGGAAAAGAAAAGCATTGAAGTCTTTAATAAAAGTCAATTGGTATAATGCGAACCTCATGGTAACCACAAACCAAAACCCTCTGGTACACACACAGAAAGTAGAGGGAAAGAGATCCAAGCGCAACACTGAAGGGAGCCATCAAATCACAGGGAAGGGAGCAAGAGAAGAAGAAAGGAGCAGAGAACTAGAAAACAACCAGAAAGCAATTAAGAAAATGGCAGTAAGTTCATACCTAGCAATAATTACTGTAGATGTAAATGGTCTAATGCTCCAGTGAAAAGACATAGGGTGACTGAATGCCTGAAAACAAGACCCACCTGTAGGCTTTCTACAAGAGACTTACTTCAGACCTAAAGACACATATAGACTGAAAATGAAGGGATGGAAAATGATATTCCATGCAAATAGAAGTAAAAATAAAGTTGGGGATATCAGACAAAATAGACTTCAAAATGTAGAATGTAACGAGACAAAAAAGAGCATTACATAATGATAAAGGGATCAGTAAAACAAGAGGATATAACCATTTTAAATATGAACCCAACATAGGAGAGAAATTGGCATTAATACAATAACAGTAGGGGTCTTTAACACCCCACTTGCATCAATGGGTAGATCAGCCAGACAGAAAATCAATAAGGAAACAGGGACTTTGAATGACACAATAGGCCATATGAATTTAACAGATTATCTATAGAATATTCCATCTAAAATCAGAAGAATGCACATTCTTTTCAAACACATGTGGAATGTTCTCCAGGATAGATCACTTGTAAGGATATTTTTCTGAAGAACACATACAGATGGCCAACAGACACGTGAAAAGATGCTTAGCACCACTAATCATCAGGGAAACGCAAATCAAAACCACATGGAGATATCACCTCACATGGGTCAGAATGGCAAGTATCAAAAAGAGAAGACATAACAAGTGTTGGCAAGGATGTGAGGAAAAGGGTACCCTGTACACTATGGGTGGGAATGTAAACTGATGCAGCCACTATGGAAAGCAGTATGGAGGTTCTTCAAAAAATTAAAAACAAATACCATGATTCAGCAATTTCACCTCTCAATATTTTCCAAAGAAAATGAAAGCACTAATTCATGACATTATGCTAAGTGAAATAAGTCAGAGAAAGACATCATGTGATCTCACTTATATGTGGAGCCTAAAAAATAAAACAAATCAACAAAAGCCCAGAAAGAGACTCATAAAGCTGGTGGTTGCCAGAGGGAAGGGTGGTTGGGAAGATGTGTGAAATAGGTGAAGGGGATCTAGTTATAAAATAAACAAGTCACAGGGATGAAAGATACAGCATGAGGAATATGGTCAATAATATTGCAGCAACTTTGTGTGGTGACAGAAGGCAGACACACTTATCATGGTCACTGTGTTGTACTTCTGAAACTATTATAACATTATGTCAACTATACTTCAATAAAAAAGTGTGCAGGTGATACAGTAATACAAACTGCTGTACAAAAAGCCCCATGAAACACAGAACTGTCTACAATAAAATGCTAAAGTTCCTCTTTATCTTTTCCAACTCTCCCTCCTACTCTGGAGATAGTATTACTGATAATAGTTTTTTGGGTATCATTCTAGTTTGTTTTGAGCATTTGTATATGTAGATACAAACCTATGTCTATTTTTCAATCATAAATGGGACAATTAACATAATTTAATATTTTATTTTAATGGCTGTCCTACTAAATGAAGCTCAGACTCATCACTGTGGCAGTGAAGACCCTTCACTATCTGCCTACTTTCTACCCTCACATCAACACCTTGACAGGTGCTCTGTCTTCCAGAAAAGTACCCTGTTTTCTCCTTCATGAGATCTGAGTGCTACCCTCTCTGTAGATTTGCTGTTACTGATTCCCCAGCCTGGAACGTGCTCTCCTATTTTTTCTACCTTTCCTGATGGCTCCCTTCTTCAAGGGCCAGCCAAACCCTCTTTCCTCAGAAGGCCTTCTCAGACTGTCCAGTCTCCTTGAGATTTCTTAGTACTGACCAGCTCCACCATGACCTGTGGACCTTGCTGTGTCTATTCAACACATCACCGCCTGCTGAAGCAGCTCATGTACGCATCTCATCCCTTCAACAGAATTCTGAGTTTTTTTAATTTGAAGACTATACCCCATACCACCTAGTCTTCTTCCTGCGATGTTTAGCACACATAACAGGCATCAAGGCATACTTGAAGACTTGAACTGCATTGTTTTAAAGGAGGGAACACAAAAGAGGGCCTTTGAGTATTAAGCCTGGGGATTGAGGTTATTAATATCTTTTTTGTGAGCCATTTTCAGTTTATTCACTTTAGAAAAGGCTGATAAAGCAGCACCTTCTCTTGTGGACATCCCTAGGATCTTCTATGGTGCTGGGGGTGGGTGGGCCTTGCAACATAAAGAAATACTGTGAATTGCACTAATATGTATGTTTAATATTCCCCAACACATGTCAAGTATTTTCCATTTCTACATTTTTTCGTTCGGTCATTATGCATTGGCCACATAATCACTGAAATAAACCTGAATTCGGTGGTCACAGCAAAGGAATTGTGTAGCCAGTTGTAAGATCGCTGTTTGTGACCGAGAGAAAACTGTCCATGAGTTCCAGCCACCTTATGTATAGAAACCAGGCTGTGTAACATGAGATCCAGTGAAGCTTAGCTGGGACAGAGCTAAAGCAATAAAATATGGAAAACAGGTGGACTATTTAAATTTACTTACAATTTTACTTCTGTTAAAGTATTTTTAGTAACTGAATGCCAGGTCAATTTACCAATTTCAGCAAATTGCTGGTGATAACTGAAAATTCACTTGTATTGGGAGTATAAATAATAAATATTAAGCATAAATAAATAAATGTTTGATTTAATGGGTTTACTACAGTAAACCTTCAAGCAAGTGTGCCATAGAGTCATTTATTTTTATGTAATAGCCATATGTTAGTAACCCTTTAAATCTTATTACAGTAATCTTCCTGGGGCTGATGCTAAATTCTTTGGACTGGAATTTGGGTTTTTAACGAGTGGGTGGTAAACTGAACTTTGGAGCTTTTTGCTTTACAGTACAATTCTGAACCTATGTGATTTTTAAAAAAATTTAAATTAAATTTATTCATTTTTTTTATTGAGGCATAATTGACATATAACATTATATTAGTTTCAGGTTATAACATAATGATTGGATATTTATATAGATTGTGAAATGACCATAATCAGTCTAGTTAACATTCATCACCAAATGTAGCTATAGGATTATTTTTTATGTTGAATACCTTTAAGATGTCCTTTCTTAGGAATTTTCTAATATACAATACAGTATTACTAATTACAGTTGCCATGATGTACATGTCATTCCATGACTTATTTATTTTATAACTGAAAGTTTGAACCTTTTCACTCCCTTCACCCATTTTGCCCCCCACATCTGGCAACCACCAATCTAGTCTCTGAATCTCTGGGCTCTTTTTTTTTTGACTTTTTAAGATTCCACATGTAAGTGAGGACATATGGTATTTGTCCTATGTGATTTTTAAAAATCTTTGTTTCCCCTAAATACCTAGCACTTTTTCCTCCTTATATTCCTCTTTGCAGATGCAGTACATACAATTTTTTTCAGTAACTGATTATATTCTTGCCTATATTATTCGGCAGTTGTGGACTTGTACCTTACTTCCTCACATTTATTATGTGAAGCGTCCTTTGTAAACTGGCATCCCATTATAGAAATAAATCAGTTATTGATGAAAAGAACCTTCATAAGCAGAATGCTGTAGAAACACATCATAAATTTTTTCTCCTTAGCTCATTTGAAAAGCATTAAAATAAATGACAAAAAACCTACTAAATGTTTATGACTTTGGTTTATGCACATGGGATAATGGGATGAATGACTAATCCATCACTTGGCCCT